GCAGTCTGAGTGAGGCGGCCTGATTTTTTTTAAAAGAACATTGAACTCTCACATCCACATGACGGTGCTCTTCTGCTCAGGCACCCGGGGAGGCTGCTACTGCCACCATCCCTCAGAGCTGGGAGCAGTGTATCTTTTGTCTATTTTTTATTTTATTTTTGGAGACGGAGTCTCACTCTGTTGCCCACGCTGAAGTACGTGATCTTGGCTCACTGTAGCCTCAACCTCCCGGGCTTAAGCAATCCTTCTACCTCAGCCTCCTAGTAGCTATGACTATAGGCGACACCACCACACCTGGCTAATTTTTGTAGTTTTTGTAGAGACAGAGTCTTGCTATGTTGCCCAGACTGGCCTTGAAGTCCTGGACTCAAGTGATCCTCCTGCCTTGGCCTCACAAACTGCTGGGATTGTAGGCATGAGCCATCATGCCCGGCTGGCACGTTTCATTTGGAATCATCAGAGTAAGCTTAGTTGGAGACACTAACCTCAGATGCTCACAGAAGTCAGGCATCTGTGGTTTGTCACACAAGCCATTCGCTGAATGCATTGGGCATCATTCTTTGCTACGGTGGACAACAGTGTGGAGCATGGGCCAGCCCTGTGGGTAGGTTCTGAGGTCTACCTCTCTCTCCATCAGGTTTGGAGTCCGCCCTCTGCCTAAACGCCAGATGGTTCTGAAGCTGAAGGAGATATTCCAGTACACGCACCAGACCCTGGACTCAGACTCGGAGGATGAGAGCCAGTTGTCACAGGTGCTGCCGCAGGCGCCTCACTGCCAGACCCTCGCCTCCCAGACCTGCAAGCCTTCAAGGGCAGCAGTCCATGCACAGCAGGAGGCCACCACAGGACCCGAGGCCCATAGGCCCAAGGGACCTGCTAAGACCAAGGGCCCCCGACAGCAAAAGAAGCATCCTGAAAGCATCACACCCCTGAGTAGGTCACCTGCCAAAGAGGCACCTCCAGGCCTCGATGATGACGCTCAGCTCCCAGCCTCCCAGGAATCCGTGGCCACCTCTGTGGATGGCAGTGACAGCTCTTTGAGCTCACAGAGGTAATTGGATGGGCACGATGGGGTCAGTGGCCTCATGTATTCTCTGGCCCGTGGGTCTGAGGGTTGGCACAAGTGAGGCCTAATGGCCAATCTTCAAGCACCTCTATCACCTTCTGGGTGTGACCTATGGGAAAGCCAGGTGGGTTTAGAGGGCTGGTTCTCTGACTCCCACCCCTGCGCAGGCCTCCTGGTTCCTGCCCTGCATGCTGGATATTTCTGGCTGGGCGAGATCCCGCTGGAGCAGCCTGCAGGGATCTCTCAGGCCCATCCTGCCATCCTGGGGGTCATCTGTGCTACAGGCCAGGCTCCATGGGAGCCATAGAAACACCCGCCTTCCTTTAAAGAAGCTCCTGGTCTGAGGGACTGGAGAAAAAGGGGTTGCAAAATGTCCGGGTCTGGCTCTTTTCAGTTCTTCCTCCTGTGAGTTTGGAGCGGCATTTGAGTCTGCAGGTGAAGAGGAGGAGGCCGAGGACGAGGTCAGTGCCTCGCAGGCAGCTGTGCAGGTGGCGGACATGGACGAGGCTCTGAGATGCTACATCCGCTCCAAGCCGGCCCTATACCAGAAGGTGCTGCTGTACCAGCCCTTTGAGCTGGGGGAGCTGAAGGCCGAGCTGAAGCAGAATGGCCTCCGTGTGTCCTCGGGCAGGCTGCTGGACTTCCTGGACACCCACTGTATCACCTTCACCACCGCCGCCGCCCGCAGGGAGAAGCTCCAGGGCAGGAGGCGGCAGCCTCGGGGCAAGAAGAAGGCAGAGCGGAACTGACGGGCTGTCTCCAGCCCCACCCCGCCATCAGCAGCCCCCACCTTTGCCATCTTCGGGGAGGACCTGGGATACCCAGTGTGGGTCAGGCCTCCACAGGCATTTCTGGGTGCACTGTGACAATGACCACAGCCCGATCCAGGGCTTCCTCCTCGGCTCTCTCTGGTTTCCAGGGTGGCATTTGGAGCGTGTCATCCATTGAACTTAGACTTGAGCCCCTTCCTCTGTCTGTGCCCACAGTGTGTCTCCCTTTTTAAATTTTTTTTTTTGGGAGATAGAGTCTCATTCTGTCACCCAGGCTGGAGGACAGTGTCCCGGTCTCGGCTTACCATACCCTCCACCTCCCGGGTTCAAGCCATTCTCTTGTCTTAGCCTCCCGGGGTAGTCGGGACTGCAGGCACATGCCACCATGCCTGGGTAATAACTTTGTATTTTAGTAGAGACAAGGTTTCACCGTGTTGCCCAGGTTGGTTGCGAACTCCTGACCTCAGGCAATCCAACCGCCTTAGTTTCCCAAAATGCGTGAGCCACCTCACTCGGCCCAGTGTGTCTCCCTTTAATCCAGAGGGGCAGTGGGCCATCACCAGCAGGCCAGGGCAAGGCCTATTCTGCCACATCTGCCACCCTCTGAGCCCACCAGTCCTGGGCACAGCTGCCCCACACATCTGTCCTGAGATGGACATCAGGTCCAGCCTGCCTTAGTGGCCCAGGCCAGTCCTCCTCACCACTCAGGCCAACCCCAGCCACCGCCAGCCTGAGACCAGGTGTCCTCAGGCTCCCCCCACTGCCATGGCCCAGGTGCAACTCTCCTGGCCCAGCCGGGCTGCCTGGACACTTGCCATTGTCACCAGCAGTCTCCAAACTGGACAGTGCACAAGGGCCCAGAACAACTCTGATGTCCCCAAAACAAGCATCTTCACTAGCGGGTTCCACCCATTTGGGTTAAAGCTGCCTCCAACTCAGGAGGAGTGTGGAGGAAGGCGAGGGCCAGGAAAGGAAACCTCGGTTCTCCATCCTTGTGAATGTCCTCGTCTGTTTCAAATGCAGTGCAGTCAGTTTTATATGATGTGCAATAAACAAAAATGGCTTTATTAAAACCTCCTGGCTGCCACACTCCAGGAAGATCACAAGGGAAACAGGAGCTGGAGATGCCGCGGCCCCTTGGCCCCCGGCCCTGCACCTGCTCTTTGTGTCGGGGTAACCTGGGCCTGCTGTCTCCTCATTTCAGTTCCTAGACCAGAGACGAGTTCACACACCTGCATCCAACTGAGCCCTGGCCGGGTGCCAAGCTCCAGTCCCTGCTCCTTGAAGGAGGCGCAAGCACCTCCAGCAGCTGCCTCAACAGAGGGTCGCTACTAAAGCAGATTCAGATCCCCGCCGCGCCCACCTCACCCCACCCCGTAACTCACCGAGTCAGCATCTGACTTTACCAGTGCGTCCCGTCTAGTGGAGGAGACAGACGCTGGCCTATCCCCACGTGGTGGGGGGTCAGGCTCCTGAGGCCTGAAGGGCCGTGTCGGGACAGCCTCTCGGAAGAGAGGTTTGTGAGCTGCGTCTTCTGGGCACACAGCATTTAGGGAGTGAAATGTGGTTTCAGGCACTCATGCTGTGTCCTGGCACGTGACCCCGTGGGCAGGCTCAGGCCTCGCAGCTTACGGAGCCCAGGGCAGACAATTTGAGGGCCTGAGATCAGCTGTGATCAATCTGAGGCTGGCCTTTGGCCTGCTTTGGAAGGCATCATGCGCTGCTGCCTTGGTGGGCTGACCCCCTCCCTGGTGTTCGGGAAGTGGCAGGGAGTGGGGAAGGTGGGGGACTCGGGGCCCCTGTCTGGCCTCACAGGGTTTGTGGTTTGGATGCATTCGTTGTGTCCCATGACTTAAGAGTTCAGAACTTCAAGGCTGGTGGAGGCTGGCTGGGGGAGGAGTTCCAAGTAGTTAACAGGTTGGCCTAGGAGCCCTGAGTGCAGTGTGAGCCCAAGGCTAGGGGAAGCATGGCCTGGGGACTGGATCTGAGCCTCACCGTGACCTTGGATCCAGTCGGGGCTGCTGGATGCTCTCTGGGCGGACAGGGGCCAGCGCTGTGCAGAGGCTCAGTTTATGCAGTGCCGCCGGCCAGGGGACCGGGTCCTGGCCTTGAACCTGTACAATGCAGCATGTCCTTGTCCTGAAACAAGCTGTGAAGCAGCTGATTCCTCCAGAGGGAAAGAGGTTGAAGGAGCCACCATGGGAACCTACAGAGGCATGGTGGCATGTGGGAGTAGATGGTCCTGCCACAGAGATGAGGCTGACCCAGGCAGCACAAAACTAGGTCCAGCTGACAGACGGAAAAGGAAAACGCCTTCTCACAGCACCTGCAGTGAAGCTGGCGGGCAGTGGGGCCTCCTTGTGGACAAGGCAGGAGGGAGTCCCTTCCAGGAGTGACTGAGAAGGAAGCTGGCAGGCCGGGCGTGGTGGCTCCCACATGTAATTCCAGTGCCTTGGGAGGTCAAAGCGGGAGGATCACTTGAGCCCAGGAGCTTGAGACCAGCCTGAGTAACATAGACCAAGTCTCTATTTTGAAAACATTTAAAAAGAAAATTTCTAAAGGGTGGCGGGGGAAGCTAGCAGCAGAACTCACTGGGTAACCCAACTAGATCAGAAAACGGTGGGGGGCGGGGGGGGATGTCCATGCCTCGCTGTAATGTGACTGGGCCTCCAGGCCTGCCTCACTTTTGGTGGCCCCAACTTGGCATGGCTTGGGCATGGTCCTTCAAGGCAGTCACAGGGGAGCCACAGCCCAGCCTGGGCCCAGGCGAGGGGGCTCACAGAGAAAGAGCCTGCAAGCGGGGCCTTGAGCTGTTGCTGAGTTAGGAAGTTGCTGCCTGCCCAGCTGACCCCAGCTCTGGGTGGACAGAAAGCCCCTGAGTGAGAACAGCTAGGGAGCCCCCATCACACCCCCGGCCCAGGAGCCAGGAGGACAGCCCACCTGGTTCTCAGCAGAGCCGGCAGAGTGGGGAACAGGACCAGCCTTTCAATGGACTGATGGACATTCCTGTGAGAGGGAGGAACCCCAGCTGGGCCGGGCTGGGCTGCTCCCCGAGATCCCATGGAGGAGGCTGTGTCCTCTCGGGCTCTGCATCCATCCCCCGTGAGCCATGGAGGGAGGCAGAGCGAGCTTCTGGCCTCTTTCATGTGAGATACTCACCGGGCCCCTGCGGTTTCCAACATCCTGTGAGCGGCCTGGTTTCAGGCGCCTTTGCTGCTCCCCACAGCTGAGGCGGCAGCCACTGGGTCTGCACCCTGCTTGCCTGGAGCCTCAGGTAGGCTTCTTGAGGGCCATCGTGTCCTCCTAGCATCCAGCAGCTTCCTGGGTGCTCAGAGCACTGCTGGGAGGGAGGGAGGGAGGGATGAAGGGAGGGCAAAGGTAAGACAGGCAGGTAGGGGACTGTGCAGGAGCACCTCTGATCTGCTGCCTCAGCTCCCTCCCCTCCATCACCTACACAGGCTCTCGGGAACCAGCTAACCCTCCCACCTCCCCAATCCACGAGCTGCTCTATGGGCCCAGACCCACTACTCTCCTGCTCTACAACCATCGCTGGCTCCCATTTGCTTACTGAGGAAAATTCAGACCCCAAGAACCTTGTCCCCTGGCTCCCATCTTATCACCTGCTTCCCTCAGTGGCCCCATGTTAAGTTGCTTGCTCCCTGTCCCTGGCAGATGTCCCATACTTCTTTACTGTAATTTTTCTCATGTGGCCTGCTCTGGGCCATGTCCTTCCTCCTCATGCCTTTCCCTGTCAGGGGAGGCCACCCGCTGAGGTTCCCCTCCAGGGGCCAAGTGTGATCTCCGCTGTGGATGGCTACATTCTGTTGTTTCCTCTTAGGGTATGGGTGGACTGGCCTCTGGGGAGCTCTTGGCTCACAGGAAGATGTTATGGGGCACAGCTGGGTCAGAGGTGCCTACTTGGTGACAAGAAAAGGAAAGCAGGAGATGTTCGAAGAGGCGGCACAGTGGCTCACACCTGTAATCCCCTGGTTTTGGGAGGCCAAGGCAGGAGGATCACTTGATCCCCAGGAGAGGTGGAGGCTGCAGTGAGCCGAGATCACACCACCACACTCCAGTCTGGGCGACAGGGCAAGATCCTGTCTCAAAAAATAAATAGGCTGGGCAAGGTGGCTCATGTAATCTCCACACTTTGGGAGGGCAAGGTGGGTGGATCACCTGAGGTCAGGAGTTCAACAACAGCCTGGCCAACATGGTGAAGCCACTTCTCTACTAAAAATACAAAAATCAGCTGGGCATGGTGGTGTAGGCCGGTAATCCCAGCTACTTGGGAGGCTGAGGCAGGAGGATCTCTTGAACCGGGAAGGGGAGGTTGCAGTGAGCTGAGATTGCACCACTGCACTCCAGCCTGGGCAACAGAGCAAGACTCGGTCATAAATAAATAAATAATAAGTAAATGAATGCACAAATAAATAGAAGGGGAGTGCCACAGGGGTGGCCTGGGGGTGGGAGGGTGCAGTCCAGTCCTGCTGGGATCACCCTCTAGTTGCGTGACCTCGGGCTGCTCTCTTGGTTTCTTGGTCACCCGCCTGAAAACAAGCATCTATCGATGGCGAGGCAGCTTCCTTTTTGGCGGGATGGAAGTGATGTGTCAACAGCCTTGGCGCCGGCCACTTTATCCTGAGCATGGCACCTGCAGGGACACTTGGTAGCAGACTCATGACCCCCAGCATCGCCCTTGCACTTGACTTACATGGGGGCGGCGGCTCCTCGATGTGTCTGCGAGGCTGTTGGCTGTTGAAATCAGACAGGAAGGAAGGCTGAGGTGGAGCCCAGCACAGGAAGAGGTGAGGACCCGCAGGGGCAGCCGGTGGGCTCAGCTGGGACGGCAAAGAAGGTCCGGGCTGCACTGTTCTTGGCCCCTGCACAGCCGGTGGGTCGGTTAGTTGGTGTGGTAAGCGCCCCGATCCCTAGTCCTGAGGACTCAGGCTGGCACAGGGATTCCCAGGACATCTACCACCGCCCAGCTGGAGCAGGGCTGAGCCCACGAGCACAGAGATGAAACCCCCAGGGTCCCCAGTCTTGGTGTCCCTGGAGCAGCATCGAGGCCCGGAAGGTAAGCTGGGACCAAGTGCCCTCAGTGCAGAGCAGAGGAGGGAGAAGGGATGCTGGCAGAAAGGACAGTGGCCTTAAGGCCTGAGCCACTCTGGGAGGGGGACTGAAGAGACACCACAAGACTCCAAGAAGGTGCCTCCTGGGGCAGGACTGGCTCATGCTGTAGAAAAAACAGATGTGGCCGGACTCGATGTGAATCCTAGCACTTTGGGAGGCTGAGGTGGGCAGATCAGTTGTCAGCAGCTCGAGACCTGACTGGCCAACATGGTGAAACTCTGTCTCTACTTTAAAAAAAAAAAAATACCCTGGCGTGGTAGCTGACACCTGTAATCCCAGCTACTTGGAGGCTGAGGCAGGAGAATCACTTGAACCTGGGAGGCAGAGGTTGCAGTGAGCTGAGATCGCGCCAATGCACTCCAGCCTGGGTGACAGAGCGAGACTCCGTCTCAAAAGAAAAAAAAAAAAAAAAGAAAAAGAAAAAACAGATGTGACCTGGGAACCTTTCCTGGCACTGGGACCCGCCCCCACCCCCGTCATGGGAGGCTACTTCTCTGGGCTTCAGCTCCCCACCTGTAGATGAAGGTGACAACACAGGACTTGCCCCAAGGATTATGAGGGGCAGGGAGGGTGCAGGCACTGCCCCCAGGTCAGTGGGCAGCCCCAGGGCCTCTCCCTGCCACAGCCTCGAGTGAGATAAGGCTCAAGAGAGAAGGCAACCACAGAGGCCTTCTCAGAAGGGGCATCACTGCCCTGGGCGTTGGCTGCAAGGTTCTCCCCTGTGGCCAGGCTCCAGGGGCCCTGGTGTCCTTTCTGGTCCCCTCCCTGGAGGTGCTCCTCAGCCTGGGGCTCACTCTTGGCCATCACAGGCTGCAGGTTGTAACCCCCTTCTGTCCGAGGGTGCTGGGCTTCCCAAGGCTGGGCTTGTCCACCCCTTGGACTCCAGGGGTCCACATAGTGGAGCAGGGTGGGGCCCCGAGTTGCAGCCACCACTTCCTTCTTCCTTCTGGAAGGCTTTTGAGCTCAGGTGATGATGCTGGGGCCGCCACGAGAGGACCAAGTCCTGAATTCTGAGGTCCTGGGAGGGGGCAGGGGCAGGCTGAAGGGAGAAGGAAGCATCCAAGCAGCCGTGGCAGGAAATACAGGCAGCCCAGGCAGGCAGCCAGCACTGGGAGGCCCCACCTGGGTGCCAAATGGCAGTGAAGGGCCCATCAGATCCCGCAAGGACTGAGGCCCCAGCGGGGAGGCAAAGACCATGTGGGCAGGCAACGGGCAGAGGTGGCGAGTCCGTCGGGGCTCAGGCTTCTCAGAAATGAGGCAGCAGCCCAGTTGCTGAGCCTGAGGGACTGGGCCTGAGCCCACACCACACCAGGAAGGTCTCAGGTCCACCTTCGCCCACAGACAAAGCTCTAGGGGTGAACCCTGGTGCTACCTGGGAGACTCTGGGGAGGAGGGAGCAGTGCCACCTACTCGTCCCTCTAGCCTTGCCCTGCTGCCCGTGGCAGCTCAGACTGGCTGTGGAGTAATCTCTTGCCTTCAGATTCCCCACAGCAACCCAAGGCCTCCATGTCCTCAGTCTCCCTGTCTTTCAGCTACGCTTGCAGGGGCTGCCTGACCGTCCATAGTGGCAGGAACCCAACCTCAGTCTGCTGAGAGGTCTGTGGAAGGCTCCAGCCTGCCAGCGGGATGCAGGGGCTGCGTGCCGGGCCTGGCAGCAGTGGCAGCCAGGTAGCTGGCCCTCAGCCTCTGGGGCTGCCCTGGGAGGTGCTGGCAATGTGGGGTTGGTTCACCCTGCACCCCCTCCTCTGCCCTTCTTGCAGAAAGTGTCCAAGGGTGAAAGCCAGGTTTCGTCCGAGTGGGGCCTGAGCAGGGGTGCCAGATCAGACACAGGACACTCTGTCAAATCTGAATTTCAGATAATCCACTCCTTTGGTATACGTATGTCTCCAGGCTGGGCGCGGTGGCTCACGCCTGTGTTTGGGAGGCTGAGGTGGGCAGATCACGAGATCAAGAGTTCGAGACCAGACTGACCAACATGGCAAAACCCCGTCTCTACTAAAAACACAAAAATTAGCCGGACAGGGTGGCTCGCACCTTTCATCCCAGCTACTTGGGAAGCTGAGGTGGAAGAATCGCTTGAACCCAGGAGGGGGAGGTTGCAGTGAGCCGAGATTGCGCCACTAGTCTCCAGCCTGGGTGACAGAGTGAGACTCCATCTCAAAAAACAAAATTATGTCTCCAGCAGTATGACATGAGCTATGTTTATACTAAAAATTATGAATCGAGTCATTTATCTGAAATTTAACTATCTGTGGATATCTTTTTTTTTTTTTTTTTTTTTTTTTTTGAGAAAGAGTGTCTCATTCTGCTGCCCAGGCTGGAGTGCAGTGGCATGATCTAGACTCACTGCAGCCTCCACCCTCTGAGTTCAAGTGCTTCTCCTGCTTCAGCCTCCCAAGTAGCTGGGACTACAGGTGTCCGCCACCACATCCAGCTAATTTTTGTATTTTCAGTAGAGACGGGGTTTCACCATGTTGGCCAGGCTGGTTTTGAACTAGTGATCATGTGATCCGCCCACCTCAGCCTCCCAAAGTGCTGGGATTACAAGTAGGAGCCACTGTGCCTGCTTTGTCTTGTAATTTAATTCGCTGCATCTGGCAACCTTGGACCCAATGTGGTGGGGCCAAAAAGATGAGTGTCTGATCAGGACGGAGTGCTGATCCTCAACACTGAGACACTAATAAGGCCCCTCCACTCCAGCCCTGCCTTCCCAGGCACACGTGAGTCCTGCCTCACCCTGACCCCTCACTCCTGCCAGCACTGTCCCTCCCTCATTGCTCCCCCACCTCTGCTCAGGTCTCACGGTTCTCAACTCTGGTTAGAATCACCTGAGGAGCTTAAACTAGATCCACATGGGGACCATGCCAGACCAAATCTCTGGGTGGTCACGCCAAGCACTGGTTTCTTAAAAACCATGTTCCATAAGGCCGGGTGTGGTGGCTCACACCTGCAATCCCAGCACTTTGGGAGGTCAGGAGTTCAAGACTAGCCTGGACAACATGGTGAAACCCTGTCTGCACAAAAATACAAAAATTACCTGGACATGATGGTGGGTGCCTATCGTCCCAGCTACTCAGGAGCCTCAGGCGGGAGAATCGCTTGAACCCGGGAGGCAGAGGTTGCAGTGAGCCTAGATGGCGCCACTACACTCCAGCCTGGGCAACAGAGTGAGACTCGGTCTCAAATTAATTAATTAATTAATTTTCAAAAACGGGTATGGTGGCTCACACCTGTAATACCAGCACTTCGGGAGGCTGAGGCGGGCAGATCAAGAGGTCAGGAATGGCCAACATAGTGAAACCCGATCTTTACTAAAATACAAACATTAGCCAGGTGTGGTGGTAGGTGCCTATAATCCCAGCTACTTAGGAGGCTGAGGCAGGGGAGTCGCTTGAACCCAGGAGGCAGAGGTGGCAGTGAGCCGAGATCGCGCCACTGCACTCCAGCCTGGCGACAGAGCGAGACTCTGGCTCATAAATAAATAAATAAATAAGATAAAATGGTTACAATGGGCCAAGCCTGGTGGTCCTCACCTGTAGTCCCAGCTACTCACGAGGCTGACACAGGAGAATAGCTTGAGCCTAGGAAGTCGAGGCTGCAGTGAGCCAAGATTTTACCACTGCATGCCAGCTTAGGCCACAAACCAAGACCCTATCTTTATTTTTCAAAGAAAATTATTTTTGAAATGGTTAAAATGGTAAATTTTGTGTTATGCGTGTTTTACAAATAAACAAATAAGACTCCAGATGAGTCCTCGTCAGATCTGAGAGGCCCTGAGCTGGGACTTCTTCCACAGGGTCCTCTCATCCTCCCAGCCACCCCCACCCCCGGCAGGACAGCTGGTCACCTGGTGGGTACACCTGGACATCCAGCAACAGAAGGCTGTGTCTACCTGGGCCACACCCTAATGTCACACAGTGGAGAGAAGGACAGAAGCCCTATGTCCTGGCCTCTGGCATATCAGGCAGACAGCAGTGCTGCTTCATTTGGGCTGACACACCTTTGAATGTTTAGATAGTTGCAAACTTTTCTTTTTTTTTGAGACAGGATCTCACTCTGTTGCCCAGACTGGAGTAGAGTGGTGAGATCTCAGCTCACTGCAGCCTTGACGGCCTGGGTGTTAAGGAATCTTCCCACCTCAGCTTCCTGAGTAGCTGGGATTACAGGCACATGCCACCGAGCTCGGCTAATTTATTTTTTGTACTTTTTATAGAGACAGGGTTTTGCCATGTTGCTCAGGCTGGTCTCGAACTCCTGGTCAAGCGATCCACCCACCTTGGCCTCGCAAAGTGCTGAGATCACAGGCGTGAGCCACAGTGCCTGGCCCTATCCCTACGTTCAGTGGTTTTAATTTCCCTCAGTAATATTTTATAGTTTTCAGTATAGAGGTCTTGCAAACTTTGGCTAGATTTATTCCTAGATATTTGATTTTTATGATATTTAACTTTTTTATTTTTATTTTTTACAGACAGGGTCTCACTCTATTGCCCAGGCTGGAGTACAGTGGCTTGAGCATGGCTCACTGCAGCCTCAGCCTCCTGGGCTCAAGCAGTCCTCTCACCTCAGTCTCCCAAGTAGCTGGGACTACAGGTACACTCCACCACACCCAGCTAATTTTTGTATTTTTTTGTAGAGACGGGGGTCTCCCTATGTTGCCCAGGCTGGTCTCAAACTCGGGCTCAAGTGATCCTCCCTCCTCAGCCTCCCAAAGTGCTAGATTAAAGGCATGAGCCACCACATCCAGCCTTGC